CTGCTCTTTAGAGCAGACAGCACAGCCCAGCCCAGGCTGCCAAACATGCTGGGATGCTGGGGGACTCTGATTTAACTTGAACCAGGAAAGGGTCTGGGACTAAACCAGTTTGACCCAAATCAGTTAAGTTTCATACTTCATTCAACCAGGTTTATCTTAAACCAGTTTCAACCATCTTGAAACTGGTTTATGTGCACTAAGCTTCTGTTCTGTTACAGGTTTAAACCAGTTTATGATCATTTAAACCAGACTGTGTGCAACTTTTGTCCCTAGCCCATATGTTTAGGCAACTGGAAGACTGATTCTGCTTCCCATTTACGTCAGTAGTACAGCTCTCATTGGCTTGCGTTAGAGCAGGACCAGGTCTTCTGTAAACTGAACTGGAGGCATCAGCTTCCTAAAAAACAGGTCTTCACCTTATCAAAAATCACCATTACAGTTTAGATTAGCCTGACAGGTTTACTAGCAGTTCAAGAATGTAGGGCCCGGATGAACTCCCAAGTGTTCATATACGCGTTAGTGAAGGTTGCACAATCTACCCCTTTTTGGATAGAAATACCGCAGTGCCTATGCTAATTAAGGTCACCTCTCTGAGTTAGGGCTGAGATATGAGGCTGCTGGTGTGATAAGTTCAGATAAGTTTTCACTGCCATAGGTCTTTAGAGAAATAAAGAATCTACTGCTCCTGACCAAATCGGCATCCTTGAAAGAAATATATATATTTTATATATAAAAATAAACTCTTCTAGAAGTTCTAGTTTGTGGAAACCTCCTTTGTGATGATCTGAAGTACAAACCTGTGTTTTAAAAGAGGTAAGTTTAAAACACTACCTGTATGCCGTAAATGGCTCATGCCCTAAACCTCCTCTTACTTATAAGCTCTCCAACCTTTTATATAATCAACCATCCTATATTATGCTAAGTCCTATCCACAGTTACAAACCAAACATTGTGGCAAAGGCAATGTTCAGTTATATTATTCAGTGTCTGCTTACATTTTATAGCTGACAATTGCATAATAAACGTAAGTATGTCGACTCTGTCATCTATACCAAAACGGCAACTCAATCTAAAGGGTCAATTGTCTTTGCAAAGAAGGTGTGCTGCAATTTCTTCATAATTCCCCTACTGCCTTCTTGGTACCCAGAGCAACATCCCTCTGAAGTATACAATTAAACCCGGAGACCCCTCCTGCTGTTCATGTTTGCTAAGTGAATAGAGCCAGGACATGTACCTATTGTCTTCCTGCTTGCATGCTACAGTCTTTTCACTAGTTGACTAACAATGGCTGTTCCCAGGGCACCAGCAGGTATGCCACTTCTAACTTTTAGTTTTCAATATGTATACAGGGACCCGTGACAATGCAGCTTGTAAAATGATTCAGAATGCATGCATGTGTAAAGTGTTATTTCTTAAAGAATAAGACGGGGTGGGGATAGGTATGCTCAGGTCGGGAGGCAGATTCTGAACTTTGCCTAAGGGCAAAGTTTGTGTCTCAGTGAGGTTGTGAGAATACATGTCATCTAACTTCAGTGGAGGCAGGGTTTTGCCCTTGGGGAGAAAGTGGCTTTTTTTTTGTTGTTTTAGTTTTTTTAAAAGTGTCACTGAGTTATGATGTGCTATGACCAAATTACAGGCTCCCTGCTGAGAAATGAAAGTAGCATGCAGTAAAATGCACACTGTTTCTAACCAGCGGGAAAAAAACAATTACCCCAACAAGTGAGAGCAGAAGCAGTTAATACTTGCAGCATGATAACAGAGAGCTTGCCAAAACTAGCAGCTAATCCAATGCCCTGAAGTAGCATAATAATATATCTATTTATCTCATTCACTGTGGCTTTTTCTTCTTCCCAGCCCCATCACAAGCCAACAAATATCTATAATAATTATTGTATTTCTAATTATACCTACCAAGAAATGAACATTAAAATACTGGTACATTGCTTCCAGCAGAGAGGAAATCCATACTGCAGGATAAAGTCAGCACTTATCATAGTGGTTAACACTGAAAATTGTGTGTGAAAAAAAACAGAGTCTCTTATATAAAACTAGGATCGATTCAATTCATTCAACGGTGCTAATCAGTGACTCAATTACATATAGTTCCTTAAGATAAATCTTTCTTCCTTTAAACAGTGTTTCAGTGGTCTATAAAAAATATCCACCTCTATTAGCCATCTAACAAGCCATCCAGACTAATGATCCTTTTCTGCTTTTCCTTTCTTTCTCCCATAACTGGTAATTCAGCATGCTATATAAAACACCACTAAATCATATTTAGCCTCATGCTACTTTGAGCTCTGTACAATGTGTAGTTGTAGTTTGATGCTAGCACATTTTTAAACAGTTTTTATAATGCATTTCACACTGATGCAGCCTAGTTGCCAGCATTATTAACAACAGAAAATTTCCCCAAGTATACTTTTTCTTCAACACCTGCTAAGTCAGCAAAGGAGAATGTATTGCTTTATCCTCGTACAAGAAGCAATACCAAATATTACTCTGTGCCAGATTATGGTATACCGTGCACACATGGGCTTCTACAAGAAGTGACTGCTATATATTTTCTAAATGCACAATCTCTTAATATGTGGGTAGCTGTAGAGAATTATAATTGCACGGATGAGCACAGGTAGTCGTATACAAAAGGCTACAGTCCAATAGAGAAATGGGGGGAAGGCAATTTTAGCATTATACAATCCTATTACTTCAGGGCATACTTTGCCTCACATTTTGTGGTTAAGGAAGAGGGATTCAAGCTTCACATAAGCTATAGCTAAAGCTAAAGAGTAGGAGTGCTGTACACACACATTTCAGAATAAAATGACATTTTTTTCCTTGGGCAATTCAGTTGAACTGGAAGCAGACTTATGCTGGCAGTTAGTCATTTTAATTATAGTGTGATGACACTTGCCAGTTTAGAAGATGATTCATCTGGCTGCATAGGAATTCAGTCTTTTTCCCCCTGTTCTATTCATGAGCTATTTTCAAAAGTACAAAGTATAAAATCAGGCATTTAATCGCTTAGGACTTACCTGGTGGAAGACTTAGCATATCATAAGCTTTTCAGTAATAGTGTGTGTTATCTATTGAACGTCCACTTTGTTAAACAGTAGTCTTTACAGAATACAAAGAATAAAAGGCAACAGAGGGGCACTCCAGTTTAATACACTTTCAGGGCAAATATATAGATTGCATTAAATCAGTAGAAATGCAGTATACCTTGCTTCATGTAGCAGATTAAAATGTACCCTTTAAATACAGGCAAAATTAATCATACATTTCTGAATAGGATTATTTCATTCGGTCAAATTCAGCCTTTGTGCTGTAATTCCAGCAAAGTCAAAGAAGTTATATTAGAGATGAATTTGACACAAAGTCTTAAAAAAAAAAAACCTGACACACTGACCTACCTTTATGTGACAGACGTAACCTTGGCTGCCTTGTATCTGTTGCATGACATCCAGTAGGTAACTCTAGTAACAAGCCACATAGTGCCAGGATTAAAAGGTTCTTGGCAGATACCATGCTGCCCAAGAGCAAATTCTTGTGCTTCTTTACTTAAGGGTTGATTTGTTTTTGTTTTTGGTTTTTTAAACTGCAAGTTCCACTTCTGCCTTCTCAGGACAGTTAAATCTTTCTCTGGTCAGTTGGTGGGGATCTCGATGAGAAATGCAGTTTCTCAGATTTCCATGTGTCAGGCTTTGCAAAGGTCCTGACAAATATTCTCTCCCAAGGACAATTGTTTATACACTGCGAGGACATTCCAAGGCGTTATTCTGCAGTGTTGTGTCTTGAGCTCTCTTTAGTAACTCTGCCAGTGGATTCAGGAAGAAGCTGTATTCAGTCTCTCCTGCAAGGCAATTCATTCAGGAAAGAAAAAAAAAAAAACCCTCCTCCTTGGTGCTCTTCAGAACTCAGCCCCTTGCTCTGACTTGCCAAACAGCTAGTTTTAATTCACCTTTCACCTTTGCTAATTAAAAACAAGAAGTGCCATTCCCTCCTGGATTTGCAGGATCCACCCAGCAGGGATGCCGGGCTGTCAGACTGCTGTATTTACTGGGAAAGTTCAGGGAGGGTTGAGGCAACATACAGTACTTGCTGCTTCTAGGAAGTGTTTCTGATCCACGTGCTGCATCTTGATCCTCCCGGTTACTTACTGGTCTTATATTCTAAGACATCAGGAGAGGGCTCAGAAGTTCCTCTTGCCTTTCATTTTCAAAACTATGTATTTTAAAAGGCTTTTTAGTTTTTGTTTCCAATGCCGGTAAAGTGTAGGATTAGGTTAACATTAACTACTTGAGTACATTAGCATTTAGACTCAATAAATGATAAGTCAGCACATAGTTTTCATACTACCTTGTTTTTAGAGATATCTTTACATTTTTTCCACCCCCAGCATATATTTATATCCAATTATGTCTCTAGATTTTATTTACTTTACATATGATATAAGAAGCTGATGTCACAAGACATTTATACCTGTGAGTTAAACCACTTATGTGAGTAAAAATGGCTTCAGTATTAGATCTTAGGTTAGACTTATATAAAGTAATTTTATTGCTGGGGGGGCCGGTTGGCGGAGGGGGGGGTAAGGGGTAATGCTAAAACAATATAAATTCTAACTCTTTACCAGTCACCTCTTAAACTGTAGTTGACAATACCACTGTCAAAAGTTAGTCTTTTTATACATAAAGAGGTTTTATTTACATCTGGAATATATTTTTGAGGGAGTACCCCTAGTGACATTTTTCCATAGTTGAGGTCATCTATCTGCATTAACATTTGTGCTTTTCTGAGAATTTTTCAAGACTTTCTTATCATGCATCTTATGGGATGAGGATAGTAACCTTATGCTCACTTGCCATTACAGAACCTATTCCTTTATACAGATGTAAGAATTAAGATAACCAAACACTGTGGAAAATAAAGTGTCAAGATGAGGTTTTGGGTCAGCAAAGGGGAATGCTGTGTGGATAGGAAGATCCAACAGGAATTTAGTAGAGATCCATGAAAAGCTGAATATAACAAATGTTGTAAAATCTCGATGATTTCAGTAAGCAAAACACATGGTTACGATACTAGAAGATGGGCTCAAAGGCTAGGGACAGACATTTAAATGCCTGAGCCTGAATTGATTCAATCTTTGCAGGTTAGTCTAACCCGGCTAGCTAAATCAGTTTTGTAACCAGACAGACATCCCAGAAATGCAGGCCTGTGCCTGCTGTAGCTCAGGCTAGAAGCCAGGGGGCACTAGAGCAGCCCTTCCATCTTTTGCAAAGAGCTGAGCTGAGGTCCCAGCAGGATGCTTTGATTAGGGAGGGGTTCCCCCTTCCGAGCAGCCCAGCAGGGAACTGATAACAGTATTTATCACCCCTAACTCAATGTTTATCACCCCATTAAGCAAACAAAAGAGGGACATTACCAGCCACCTGGCGATTCTGCCTTTGTCCTGTCTGCCACAGCATAGACCATAGCCAGCATGTGGTCTGCTAGCTAATTCTGAGATGTCTAAGGCAGTGGTCTCCAAACTTTTTTGATCGTGCACCACATCCGTAAAAATTTTTGACCAAGCACCCCCAATATATGTATATTTATATAAATATAAATAGAAGTTCTCATATTTTCTTCCCGCACCCAGTGGATTGTCTTGCACACCCCCTGGGGTGTGCACACCCCACTTTGGAGACCACTGGTCTAAGGCAGAGGGGAGAGGGGAATCCCTGCTTAGCAGGGAGTGCTGAGGCAGACGCCTGCAGTCTTTGCTGAGCTCCAGCCAGGGAGCAGAGGGGAGGGGCCAGCTCTTCTGTGGAGTAGAGAGCCCCACACAGCCCAGAGAGCATGCTGGGATCCTGGGGGTGTCTGGCTTAACTTAAACCAGCAAGGGGTCTGGGACAGACATTGCATAAACCGGTTTGACCCAAAGCAGTTAAGTCTACATTCAACCAGCTTTATCTCAAACCAATTTCAGCCATTTTCAAACCGGTTTATGTGCACTGAACATCTGTTCTGTTCCTGGTTTAAACCAGTTTCTGATCACTTAAACTGGTTAATGTGTAATGTCTGAGTCTGCTGAGTCTGAGTCTGCTGTGTAATCTGCTGAAATCTGCTGAGTCCCATGCTGCTGTGGCTACATCAGGTATGTCTACATAGGTTCCTGCCACATCAGTGACTAAGATAATAGGTGTCCTTAGGGGCAATCAACCCAAAATACATGGGTTTACTATATGTATGTTATACCTATCCCAAAGTCATGCTCAGGATTAGTCCAGGTGGTAGGTTCTTACAGCTAAAATATGTATATGACCCTGATTCACTACCTACGGATTTAAGTGAAATTTAGATGTAGCCTGATGAATTTCCATTACTGCATTTATGTATTTCCTAAATTACTACCATTATAGAAGACTTGTGCTTTTGTCATACAAAGTTTAGGTCTGAAAATGCTTACTTTTGCAATTTTAAAATAAAATTTTTACTTGCTATAAAGATCCCTCTCTGGAAACAAGAGCTGCATTTCATTTAGGGCCATAGATTTCTTTTAAAAAATTACCAGTGTAAAATTCTGAGTGTAAGCACATAATATGACAAAAAATCCATATTCAATCAATAAAGATCCAAATACTATTTCCCAACAGTTTTCTCCCATGCTCTCATATAGCTTTTCTTACATTTGTGTACCCTTGCCCAGTGCTACAGAGAATCAACTTCTAAAAATCAGGCTCTGAGTAGCCCAAGGTCTTAAGTTAGTGCCTTGAGTCTAAAACAGAGGTAATGAAAAGTAATGAAGGCATAATTTTACATGTTTTTACCTACTTTAAACTTTGGCAGCTTTTTGTGCTAAAAACTCTTAGCTGGAGTCTGCACTAAGGCAAAACGGAAAGAGGTTTGCATTTGTGCGATGACTGGATAGTTATCTGATTAAGTTGCAAGTCTTTCACTAAATTGCTTTTATTTGCATCTGTACAGTCTATGAGAGCAGTACATTTTCTTTTCTTTCTTTTTTAACATAATTTGGCAATTGAATACCAGATTTTTTGGCTCCTATACAGTCATCAATACCTGACTGGTTTAATTTGCACATTTGGGACAAAGGAAATGGCTTTCCAGTCTGAAATCTGACTCTAACCTCTCTTCACCCTGGCTTGTAGAGTGAGCAAGGCAGTATGTATAAGGCTTCCTCCTCTTTCTGTCACTGCAAACCAGTCAGCACTCTTCCTGCCTTAAGATCCTCTCAAGAGATATGCAGAAGGAGCTATAGAGCTGTGAAATGTGCCAGGTAAATGGAACAAGTAAAGTCACAGAATTGACTTCTTTAGCATCAGAAGTAGCAGATGATGATTAGGACTAAAGCTAAGTCTGCGTGTTAGGAAGTGGCAGGACAGCTGAAAGACTAGTATGGTTGGGGGGGAGGGGGTGGATGACAAATGCAGTGAAAGGGGAATTAATCTCCTATGAAATAAATATGATAATTCAGATATTTATATATGGCTGCTGAATGATTTGCAAGTAAAGTAGCAAGGTTTAGGCTACATTTTACCTGTTTTCCTCCCTTCCTTCCTTGTATAGAATTGCACAAATTTTTATACACAGCAAATAATGATGAGGAAGCTACAGCACAGAACTGGGAGTCAGAAGAAATGGTAAGTTAGACAGATGGACTTTCTACCTTACCTCACAGGGTGCTGTTACAATAATTTGAAATGTATTAAACACTATGTAGAAAGAAAGAAATATAGACACTAAAATATTAGGATTTAATCATAGATGGGCATATACTTGCATATACCTGGGTTGCAGTATCTAGAGGGGCAGATAGAAGTGACAATTTTAACCTGATCTAGTCCCTGAAAACTCGCTACCACCATGACCAAACACAAGTGCATAAGCACAATGTGCTTTAAAAGGGCCCAATCTCATGAAAATCTGTACCCTTATTATATGAGGGCTCAGATGAAGGTGCTCCAAAGTGAGCACTCTCAGTAACTTCTGTCTGCATACTGGGAGCAGGGCTCAGTTGACAGCCTTGTGCTGCTCCCGGTGCTGTTTTCAGAATAGGAGGGAGGGAAAAGGAGCAGAGGAAGCTTCTTCTGGGGATTGCCCAGCTGACACTAGAGGGTGGGGCAGGTGCACTGGAGCCCTGCCTTTGATGGGAGGCTCCAATCCACCCCTCCCCCAACTCCAGAGCAGCTGGGGAAACCCCAACCCCTCCCTTGTCTTCTCCCCCTCCCATCTTGAGTCAGCAGAGGAGCTGGGAGAATGGGGGGCAGAGCTAGGAGAAGAGGCTGTAGAGATGCAGCGTCTCTTTCTGGATGGGCTCCAAATTAGGGCTTGATCTCCCACCCTCCTCACCCAACAGCTAATTCATGGTGCTTTCTGTGAAGTGTCGTGAGTTAGACCTGGGAGCTGCCTTAAATGGCAAGTGTGAAGTGTTTGGTCTCTGAAGGGGCAGAGGCGTACCAATCTCACTGAATTCTGATCCCAGTGGTGGGGAGAGGGTGTGTGGGGGTCTGGTGACCACTGTACAGGGGCACAGAATAGATGAGTGGAAGAGAAGGTTTATCTTCCTAGACTATTGCTGCTGCTGCAGCATCAGCTGTGCTCTGGCAACCGCAGCCCAGTGGCTGGGCTTTCTGAGAGGCCCTTTCACTACCTTCCTCCCCCTTCCCGACCTCCAATACAAACATATTGGGCATAGGGCTGTGCCTGCTGTGAGAGACTCCTCATAGGAGTGGGGGAAGCACTCTTCTGCTCACCTCCCCTGTCCTCCAAATAAACTGCTTAATGCAGGACTGAGCAGCCCCTGTCATAGCAAAGACACACAGGGGTGTGATTCTGGCATCCCTTCAAAGTCAGCATCCAGGACTGGTGCAGTGTTCACCCTGCCCTAGTTACACTACAGCGAAAAGCATTCTGAAACCAAGACATGTTTCTGATAATGAGTCAGATGCTATGGTTCATCTGTCAGCATTGAAATCGGTCTTAGAAATCAAATCCCCAGTTAGGCAGACGCTAGTAGGGGAATAAATGATTTCATGTTTGGAGAATGTGAATAGCGCAGAATATTTAAGAAATCACAGGCAAACTCTTCACTCATTTACAAGTATATAAATCCAGAATAACC